GTATGTCTTGTATGGGGTTTTTCCTGTAATTGTGATATAATGTTCACTTTGTTGGGTTTTGTTGCAGTATGCCCCATGTAATGAACTAAAAGTATTGATGAAATGAAAAAAATGTTGATGATGATGATTTGCTGAATGAAGAAGAAATAATTTCTATGCCGAATTTTAATGAAGAAAATCAGGATGAAGAAGACATCAAAGAGACATCTCCTATTTAAGTCAAAATGCTTTATTGGCTATTGAAAAAGTAAACTTGTTTGTTTGGACAATATTTTAAGGAATTTACAAATGAGGAATTGAAACAGTTAAAAAATGTCAAAAAGAAAATTAAAAAATAAAATTCAATTCAACAAAACAATCTATATTACTGTTTTTTAAATATTAAATAATATTTTTTTTATTCTGCATGACTTAATGTAGTACAATTTTCTATACTGGATTCTCTCTATAACAGACAAATTTCCTGGTTCCAATGATCTGTTATATTCAATGGATCTATGGGACTGACCACCTAAATCCGTTGAAATGAGGTTTGACTGTATTGGGAAGGTAGAGCTCCTTTTTATTGTTTTTAAATAGTAAATTTGCATCAAATTTTATTACGTAGAGATTCTTATCTGATCTACCACTTAAATGTATTTCTTTTATCAGAATTTGTTAAATCATAAAGTATTTCCTTATTTCCAGACATTGTTTGATTTTGGATTCTATATAAATGTCTCAAATTTATATTGAATTTTAATTGGCTTATTATATAACTTGGACAATCATCAATTGAATCTGAAAGATAATGAGCATATATGAAATTTAATTTATTCCAACAATTATCATGATAAACATTGCCACATAATTTAACACTGTGAGATAGTCCTTGTTTTATCACGTGATTATTTTTTGATTGGACAATAGTATTGATAACATACAAGCCTTCCAACCTTACAACACCCCCCTCTATCATTGGAAAATTGGAAGTTCCAATCTTCCAATGGCACATCACTAATGTGTAACACACTCTAACATCAAAAAATTCCAAATCTTTGTTGTAAATTTGTCCTGCTCATTAAAAGATAATACACTGTATTCGATCTTTAAAAAGATTCTTCCATACTTGTTGATCTAAATGTGGCACATGGACATTTTGGGCTCAATCATAACTATAATGAGCAGTAGCATCAATGCTACAACACTGTGATTTACCTTGAGAATAATTTTGGTCAACTAGTTTTCTTTGTTCTTCAGCTAATTTGGTGTTTTTATTATAATAATTTCTTTCTAATCTTGTCTTAGACAAATGTTCTTTAAATCTTTTGAGTAGATCTTTGGCTTCTTCCTCCTGACAAGCATTATAATCCAAACCATCTCTAAAATGTTGACAAGTATCACACAAGTCAGTTCTTGGGCTCATAATTTGAATCTCTGGTGTCAGTTGATGCCATAATTTTCTGAATGCATCATATTTTAAGGATTTCAATTTGCTATCTTCTTCTAGACCAGCTAGAAAATCTCTATGCACTGATTTATAACTCATTTCAGCTGGTAAGAATACAATTGATTGAGTTATTCTATTAATACTTCTTCCTGGACTTGGTAATCCATGAACTTCAGCATAATTTTCCAGAAAATTCTTTACTACTTCAGCAACATATTCCGTACATAAATTTTCTATAGGGCTTTATCAATCACCATTTTAGTTTTCCATTGAAGCATCATCCTTTTAATATTACCATGAGTTCTTGGCAGAAGACCATTTTTTATCAGATGATTTCTAATATTTTCAAAATAAGTCCTGCCAATCCCCAACATATTGAGGTAAGTTTCTTGACAAAGAAGTGTATTGTGATCCCAATGATAGAAAGTTCTTTTATTAGATCTAGTTTTCTTTTTAAGGTGTCTACTACTGCTTGTTAATCCACCATCCATTGCTTTAAGTTGAGCCATTAAAAATATGTCTTGTTCTGTTCTGGAAAGAGCTTGAAAAGATTCTCTTAATTCTGCAAATTCTTCTTTGGGAATTCTGGAAGAGCAGCCACATTTACAACCTTTTTCTAAAAAATCAATTGCCTTTTCATATTCATTAGAACCATTATATTTATTATTTTTCATATACACTTATCCCTATATATTAATTTATGTTCACTTTGTAGGTTTTTTATAATTCTTTAAATAAAAATTCTTTAAGCAAAATCAACTGTATACTTTTTTATTAAAATTAACAAATAAATTTCATGGAAAAAAAAGAATACAATGAGATAATAATGTAATTATATTATTTAGGTAGAAATAAAAAAATTTTGTCTTTTACACCAAAAGGTTCACCATATAATTGTCATGTTCTTGTAGAATCTGGTGCCCAGCACAAGCATTGCCATGTCTCATAATTTCAGGATTAAGGAATGAAGTATAGATGGTTGTTTTTTGTTCAACTCCACCAGCCCAATCAAAATCTACAATTACAATATCTACTTGGTCATTATTATCATCAATTCTTTGTTTCTTCCTACAGAGGATATTTTCACATCTTAAATCACCATGCACAAATCCTGCATTATGCATCTTTATAACTGCTTCTTTAACAGCATTTTTAACTTCAGTAGTTTCATGTAAAGTTAAAGGTTCATAATCATCCAAAAATTCCATTACAACTACTTTCCATCCTCCTGGAACCTGTTCATATCCAAAAGGTTTAGGTGCAATGCCCAAATCAGCACAGGTTTTATGTGCTTCTATTCCATATTGTTGTACAAATTTCACAAGTAGTCTTTGTGGGAAGGTGGTAAAATCATTATTATCATTATATTGTTCAACAAGAAACAATAATTTGCTTTCATAAAGTTGGTTCAGATATTTAAATCAAATTTCTGCTCCATTTGGAACCTTGAATGAAATGATGTATGGAAATTTCATTTCCCAAGGATCAATTTGAGGAAGATTTTGATAGTAAATGTCTAATGCATCCAATGTCTTTTTGAGAGCACAAAATGTTTGAGCTAGAGATTCCATAAAATGTCTATAATGTGGAAGATAAAACAATGGTAAAATTGGTGTTAAAGGTAATGATGTTAGCCGTTTAAAAATCCTTAGCCGGCTAAGCTGTTTACTACCTAAATTGGTAATTTGATTTCTATAACAAGAAAGTAACGCAGAAATCTATTACCAAATTTAGAAATTATGCATGCAGATTATTAGCCGGCTAACATCACTAGTTAAAGGGTCACATAAAAATTTTCTTCCCTCAAAAATTACACCAGCAATGCCAATATGGTCCTATAAAAGAAAATGAATTCAGAATAATCCAAAATATGAAACAAGAAATATATGTTAAAAATTCAAATTTATACCTGTGAGATATAGTAAGAAACATGGTAATTGAGTTTTATAAATATTTTGTATTGGAAGATTTGCAATGTGCTTTGCATAGTATACATTGCCTTGGTTATATGGGCAGCAACATCCAACACCCAATTCTGGTTTCACTTCTAGATTACTCATCATATACATGCCACCTTTACTAAAGGAAGTGCCATCAGTTATCATCTTCTCACCTACATAGTCATTAAAACTGATATTGTAATGTTCTCTAAATAATCTCTTAAATTCTTCCTTTCTTGCTTTTTCATCATCAAACACATTTGACATAGAATTAACTACATCTAAAACGAAGGCATAATCAACATTGTTTGGTTCTATATATAGGGTTTGTATTCACAGATACCATGAATACCATTAAGGGGGTTACACACTAATAAACCAGCAAAAAATCCCTTAAGGGTAGAGTGTAGTCATGTGATTTTTCATAACAACTGACTAGGGGTAGGGGGGTTCAATACGAATGTTACACA